AAATGCCTACTGGGAAACTGGTTTTCTCCGGTCAACTAATCATGCAACGCAGTCCTTGGCTTGAGAATGGTAAATGGTTAGGGACGGATTTGGATCCTGGTGTCTGTTGCCCGTGGTTAGAAACAAAAGATCAGGAAATTGTAAAGTGCTGACCCCATCTCGCACGGTGCAGAATCTCTTTGGTGTCTGCATGGCTTGAGCTTCCGGGGTGAAGGATAGTGCTTCAAAATGAATCACGCTAAATAGCAGTGCGGAACGCAGCCGTTCAGAGCAAATATAGCCCTGTTTGTCAAACTGTAAGTCAGCTGTCTGCAGCTAATTACAGAGATGTCAGGGAGTTTTGATTTTGTCAGCTGAATTTAAGATTGTGGAACACTGCTTGGAAAATATCCCTATGAAAACCCACAAAAGTCCCTCAAAGATATTTAGCGTATTTATTTGTGGGGTTTCTGGGCTTTTGGCCCGTACTTTTTTTTCTGGTGGCTGTACTGGAAGCTGCTGAGAGAAATGTAAAGGTAAGTGAGGCAGCAGCAGTCCTCACAGGGCTAAAGTGGGTCAAGGAGCTGGAAGGCGGCGTGTGCCCAACTTGCCTTTTGGCACACGCTGTCGGTCGGCGGCCAAGTCCCTCGTCCGCTTCCATCTGCAAAAGGCCGGAGCTCTTACCCATCCATCAGCTCTCCAACTTACCAGAGCACTGGGTGGACGCTGTGACTCATCCCAGGCCCCGTGAAGGCGGGTGGACTCGAGTTACCGAGGCGAGCATCCCGGAGAACACAACAGCAACAACTGCGTTAATCATTTTGCTCGGTTTATCTCCACTTTCTTGACCGTCTCTACTCAAGCCTGAAGTTCTTCAGAGCAGGAGCCATCTACTGCTCTACGATGTCTTAGATGTGCTACCAGACCCCATGAAGGTGGGTGGAGAGGCTGTTCAGGGAGGTTTGTGCAAGGGGGATAAGAAGCACCACGTAAGGTCCGGGTGACGTGTGACCGATGCAGCCAGGAGCCGGTAATCTCTGAGATTTACCTTGCTTTAAACAGTTCTCAGGACGGAAGGGCTACCTGCTCTCCTGGGTCTCAGCTCATTAATGGCTAATTCTTAACCGGGTGGCTTTGCCCAAATCCTCCCTGCCCTCGGTTTGGTTCAAACCACCCCGGGCTTGGGGTGGTAAGGGTCGAGGTCAGGACGGGAGTTCCTTCCCAGCTCCACTGTGGAGGATGTGGCCTTGAGTGGAATAAGGCAGGATGGGAAAAATCAGGTGACAGTTGACCTTTCTTGGAGGGCCAGTGAATCTGGAAAGCCTGGCTTGGCTTTTTTTCATCAGTGAAGGCTTTGTCCCCAATTTGTGCTGCTCCTTGTTTCAGCTCGTAGGCAGTCTTCAGCACGGAGAGACTCTGGACAACCATTTTTCTGACCTTCAGCTAGAGGATTTTATGACTATCTCTCACAGTCTTCTGTGCCGTAGGGGATGTTGTTATTTTACGGATGACTAAACTGTGGCAAACAAATGCAGAACCTCTGCTGAGCAAAGTTCAGACAGTAGAACTCTCTCCAAATGACCTTTAATGTGTCCATTACTCTTCAGCAATTAGTAGGTACCGGTAGAGGATGAAAACCGTTGCAATAGGCGTTGGCAAACCTATGGTGAGAGTCCCCAGAGCTTTTGTATTTTCTAGAAGGATAAAGAAGGCTTGAACAGGAGCCAGAGGTGGCTGCCTGAAATCCCCCAGCTTGTTGGTGGGTTTTTATTTCCCCCCCCCCCCGACAGTGTCAGTGTACATCAGGCAGATGCTCAGCCCAGCAAACGGGCCAAGTCACGAGAGCGTGGACTTGCCGCCGTTCTCCAGGACGAGGTCGGTCTGTCACATCTTCTTTACGTGGGTATCGGCAACGAGCTGGGGAGCCTTGGCTCATCCTTTGTCTGCCCCTGTCCCTGCAGAGAGAGGGTCCAGCCCTGAAGCCGAATGCCGTGGCTGCGTGGGAACAAACCAGCCCTTTTTGCAAAGGGAGAGATGCCTTTTCGAGCGGCCGGCGGAGAGGTCGAGCATCCAGTGTGTGGGACAAAGAGGGGGGGAGGTAGGGATGGCTGCCTTCGGTGGCGGATGAGGTGGAACGAAACGAAATCCCCCCCTGGAGTGAGCGAGCAGGCTTAGCTCTGCTTTCAGCAAAGCAGCAGCAGACCCTCGTGAATTGTGGTAGGAACAGGCTTCACCTTGCACAAATTCACCGCTACTCTTCAGAGGTGATTTCTTTAGATGATCGTTGAACGTCCCTTCCAACTGAAAATATCCCATCCCATCCTACTTTTTTTTTTTTTTTCCTTCTTTTTTCCCCCTCGGTGGTTTAAAAAAGGCCAAAAAGGAACAGCCTCCAGGTCTATCTTTTTTTCTTACCCTGAGGCAGTCTGCTGCGCTCATGCGCTTTTTATGGTAGCTCCATACAATCCCTATTTCTCGGACTCAAAGGTGTCTGGACACTTCAGCTAGTTTGGGATGTGGAAGCCCATGACGAGAGGAGTGACATGAGGCTCTACCTGCATTTCCCAGCATGATTAAATTCAGGATCTGTGACCTTCATCTGAAAAGAGAGCCACTTTCCTCTACATTTGTGCCAGGGCGGCCAGTAACTATTCATCCTGCCTTTGCTGCTGGTTGCAGTAGCCCCTTTTCCTTAGGAGTCCTCTCCTCGTCTACAAACCTCAGTTTGGCAATTGTCAAAGCACGATGTAAAGCTTGTTTGATTAGGCTTTTGGCAAATTGATAGAGGGATTTTGGATTACAGGAAAAATACTGATAACTAGCTTTCAAGCTGTCCCTCTGGTGCTCTGTTAATGACTTTGTGGAATTCCCATCTCTCCAGTGCCTTGCGTTTGGGTTGTCTTAAATCATTAAAAAGGAAAAAAATCAAAAAAAAAAAAAGTGCAGGCTCTCAATGCTCCTGCCAAGTAGGTCAGGGTTTTCCCTGTTGTACGGTTTGGGAAATGGAGACATTATTCAGAGTGACTTTTTTCCAAGTTGCTTGGTGAGTTGAAGACAACTAGAGGCACAATAGTGGTTTCAAGCATCAGTTCAAGACTAGTCTTCAAGTGATAATAAGTCATTTGGCCTAATCAGAGCCCAATTAAAATAAATCTTGGTGAAACCTGGCAAAGTAAATGGCACATTCCTGAATTCTGCAATGTAGGAGAAGCTGCAGGATCCAAGATGTGGTCCAAAAGAAGTAGAGGGTGAGCAATTGATGCTGCATAAAATGAGACAAAGATACCTCCTTGTATTTTAAGCTAGGGAAAATGCCACCTGATGCTTCCCATGGGAGGAAATAAGCCTAAAAACCGTAGTGATTGTGCTACCACTGTTGGGTTGGGGGTTTTTTGCCTGATCACAGTGGAAAAAGCAGCAAGGCAGGAGCATCACCATGGTGTCTGTATGATAATAAACTTCAGGATCATCAGAGTTGGCTGCTAATAAGGGGCTCGTTACGGAGTTAGCTTCTGGGATTGTGGCGGGTGGATATTCATAGAATCATTGAACGGGTTGGGTTGGGAGGGACCTTTGAAGGTCATCTAGTCCAACCTCCTGCCATGGGCAGGGACAGCTTCAACTAAACCAGGTTGCTCAGAGCCCCGTCCAACCTGGCCTTGAACATTTCCAGGGATGGGGCATCCACCACCTCTCTGGGCACCCTGGTCCAGCGTCTCACCGCCCTCAAAGGAAAAACAATTCTTCCTTAGATCTAGTCTGAATCTCTCCTCTTTTAGTTTCAACCCATTGCCCCTTGTCCTGTCACTGCAGACCCTGCTAAATTACTGATAAAAAGGGACTGAAGTTAGAAGGAGGAGGTGGTTGGTCATTGTTCAGTCAGTGAGGACAGAGGAGGGGTGAGGTCGGGTGGAAGGATGTCCTCGAGTGGGAAACGGCGAAAAAAAGCAGTGGTTTTAAAGAGTAGCTGCCAGGCCGTGGTGTCTAACCCAGGCTAGTGTCGACACCCCAGCATGCCTCTGACTTGAAAGAATAAAAGAGCCTCTTTCAGCAGTCCTAAAGCAATCAGTAGAAAATAAAACTCATTTATGAAATGGGTACTTCTAGCTGGGAGAATCATTACGCTCAGAATCCCTCCTCTACTGTAATTTTACTTTAATATTAAGCTACTCAGGATAAATTGCTACTCAGGAAATTTTTTAGGCAGAGGGTGACATCAGGGAGAAGAATATGGAGCATTAAAAATGGATTATACAGTGTCATTTCTTGACTACTTGCCTGAGATATTAAAAATGTGGGATTTAAAGCCCAGATCTTGTGTTGATTACACCATTGGCTCTGAGGCTGTTTAGGTCTTCTCCAAGCTGCTTCTGCTTGGGAAAAATGGGGTTTTACCTTGTCCCGATTAAAGCTTTTGGCTTGGCAGAAGGACCTCTTCTCGTGTCAGGTCTCTTTTTCTCTTCCTTTTATAATCGGAGCCTATTCTTCATCATCCCCTTTGCAAGCCATCTGCTGCAGCTGCGAGTTCAAAACTAATATACAGTGAGGTCAGGCTTTTTTTTTTTTTTTTTAACTTCCCTTTATTTTTTTTTTCTGAAACAGAGCAGATCTGAGGCAGGTCCTGTTGTCTTAAAGCATCGGGATTAGGGCTCTGGAAGCGTATGGGAAATAACTCGTGCGGCTGCTGGGCGGTCTCCTCCTGTTTATAATTACTCTGTTCAGGTTCTTGTGGCAGGCGTACTGTGAATGGGCTCTGAAGTGGGTAGATTGCAAACTTTCTGGAGAGGGGAAGGAAAAAAAAAAAAAAAAAAAAAAGGCAACCCCTTGTTTCCCATCTAAGCGTCATGTATTTAGGAGCCCAACTAATTAAGCTCTTCTGAAAGAGCCGTCTGGCTCCAGCAACCAGCTCCTCTGTGGTTCTTTCTCTTGCAAAACCCCGGGGGAGGCTGGATTGGGAGGGCAGTGCCATCACCCACACTGCTTCGGAGGGGAGGGCTCTCTGCCAGGCCCTCTGGAGATAGCCTGCCCACTCGCTCTCCTCGGGGAGGCACGCAACGACTTGCTTTCGCAGCCCGGCTGCAAAGCACCCCAAATTAGACCCTTTAGGTTGGCTGCGTCGTCAACCGAAAGGAAAGAAGAAGGTCGCCCCGAAGACTCGTCTCCCGAGCAGCCCGGAGGGATGCTGCGAGATGGCAGATGAAGGGGTGACGGGACTTCTCTGTGGAAGGAGGTGGGCATCAGGCGTATAGATCCACCGGCCTTACGTCGCCGGTGGTACCCTAACAGCAGGTTTGAAATGAATGCGTTCCGTGAGCGTGACTTTCTTTCGCTTCCCCGGGCTCAGTCACGCGTCTGGATGCGGAAAGGTAGATAATAAAACGTCCCGCCGAAACTCGGTCTTCTCTTGGTTTCGTGCTCGCTCCCCAAAGGCTGCCTGGTGCCACGCTGCTCCTAGCAAGAGCAGGCTGGGATTCACGGGCTTCCCTCTTTGAAGCTGCCGACAGCCGAGCTGTAAAGCCTTTGGGGAGAGCGGGGACGGTGAAGGGAGGGGACACCCAGAGTCTCTTTCCCTGGGCAGATGGAGATCTGTCAGCAGTTTTGACAGCGGAGGCCGACGGGCTTCTGGACTAAGCTTCGCTGCCGCGCTGAAACTCTTGCAGAGCAAAAGTTGCCTGCTGTTGCTGATTATCTGGTTTCCTTGGGGTTGGGGTTTTTTTTTTTGTTTTTTTTTTTGTTTTTTTTTGTGGTGTTTTGATTAGGTTCACAGTTTGGCTTTTTGCGCTTGAAGTGAAGCAGCAGAACGTCAAATACCCCCTTCGTACGCCTTGCTCCCCTTTAAACGCTGGCGCTCACGTGGCCGGCTCCTCTCTACGGCAAACGCGAGCTGGAGAGGTGGTTAAGGGCTGTTGAGAGCCAGCATTCCCTGGCCGGGGGGGTGGGGGGGGGACACAGCCTCACCCTTTATTGCTCTTTTTCCATCCTCGCTCGCTGCGACTGCATGGAAGCCCTCCAAAGGGCTCGGAGAAACACTGCCGGCTCTGTTCCCGGCCCCCGGGACGGTCCCGGGGCAAGCCCATCGCACATGATCTCCTGAAAAGGGCTATACAGCTCTGGCCAGCTATTATATTGAGGCCTGTAACATCGAGAGCTGCCCCAGGTCCTCCCCCAGCGTTGCTAAATCTGCTCTATCCTAATTTATGCTAATAAGGCGAGCTTTCATCTCGCATCCAGGCTCTTTCGCTGCGAGGCGGAGTGTGTGTCACTGTCTGGGACGTGGCATCCTTCGCTTCGGTTAGAAATGGTTTCTTGGTGGACTGCTTCGCTGCGGGACCAGGGGAATGAGGGTTTTGTGCTCTAATTCCGGAGTCGATGGCTTTTTGTACTCTAATCAAGAGGGTTTGATGCCGTCATTAAAAACAGGGACTTAATGGGTATTCTGCGGAATGTAAATCCACAGGAAAAATACAAGTCAAACTTTTGAGACCAAAGCACTTTTGTGCTCACTTAGTCTATTGTAATTAGGGGTGTGGTGCTTAAGGAATATTAATTAGCCCCATGGGTGAGGCTGGGGAGCCAGAAAAATGCTGCCTCCACCCCTATTCCCCAGCGGGAGTTTAGGAGCTGCCTGCTGAGCTAAGCAGGGGAGACAGCAAGAGGCAGGGAGCAAAGGTTGTCGGGGGAGGAAGGGTATCCCCCCCCCCAACCTCCTCCTTTAAAAACAAATAAACAAACAAAAATAAACCAAACCACTTTCGGGAGTTGGGTGCAACTTTCTTTGGTAGCTGGTTTTGCCAACTGGGTTTAAATCGCCTCCATCGTTCCCCCCCCCCAGGGGTAGTGGTTGCTCGCTTTAATGGCAATAGCAAATTTAAGAAGACTGGTAGCAAATGTTGCAAAGGGGCTTGTTTCCTCGGGCTGCAGTGATTGGCATCTACAGACAGGCAAGTGTCCTGACAGAGAATTTGCTTGTCTGCTAGACTGCTGCCGTACCTGAGATTCGGTGCCTCGGAGGACACCTATTCTATCCATGGCACAGAGGCAAAGAGCCACATTCCTGAGGACGTGCCAAAGGCGCCTCACTATCCTTAGAATATCTAAATTATAGCTAAATTACCCTGCTAGTCCCTGGGAATCCTGTAAGACTTCCTCTGGATGGGTAATGAGGCAGGAACTGATCAGTTAACGAGCAGTGGCTTGGGTGCAGGTGATCAAGAGCTGCCCAGGTATTTGGTGGGCAAAACCCAACTGGCAGCAGGTTTGCTTTCAGTCCTGTCGCTGCGAGAGTTGGAACAGAAAAACGGTTTGAAAGCTCTAAAAGAGAAGGCTGCGACGATGAAAAACAGTCGGAACGTGGAAGGGAGATAGCCATAGTAATTACAGTAGTAAATGTAGTGATCAGGAAGAAGGGGAGAATGATAGGGCAGGATTATCAATTAGATACTGACTCAAGAGATCAAAATGGCAGAGGGAGAAATTAGTGCTGAGAAGCCAGCTTTGTGGCTAGCCAACATGTACAAAACTTGTTCTTAGCCGCGGCGTGGGCCTGTTATTTGATGCAAGGGATATACTTGTTGGTAATACAGAAAATGCAGATGAGCTCGGCCTCCTTCTGTGTAATTTACTTAGTGTTGTTTGAAAAATGGAGACAGGGGGTAAAGTTTAGGTGCATTTAAACGAAAATATATATCATTAATGGCAAATAGAATCGTAGAACAGCCCAGGCTGGAAGGGACCTCAAAAGGTCAACCTGTTGTGGGACCAGGTAACTGTAGGAATAGCTCCTCAAACCATCGTTTTTCAGTGAGTCGTGGAAATTGAGGAAAGCAGAAGCTGATATTGTGCCAATGTATCGAAAGAGCAAACAGAAGGAGCCAGGTAACTGTCCTGGCAACCTGGTGTTTGGGGGGAAACCAACGTATTGGCTGGTAGAAAATGATTAATAAAGATTTAATGCCACCGTGGGGTCCTTTAGCATGAGTGTGTGGATTATGGGTCGTGTTGACCTCCCATCCTGGCAGGTGCAGGAAAGTTGCTCTGCTCTTGTTTTAATTCTGGGAGGACTGAAGGCAAGTGGTAAATGATCAAGGGAACAAACTGGACCAGGATTACGTGGCCAACTGCTGCTGCTGGTGGCAGGGCTTGGGGACCTGGAGAAGCCGATGGTTGTCCGATGTCCGCGCTGCTCTGCTCTGCTGATCTGGTGGACAACCAGGTCCAGCTCTTGAGACTAGAATATCTGAACTAGAAACTGATTCTTGGATGGAGGTCAGGTATTTTTCACTAGCTGATTCTAAAAGGGAAGAAATACTTGCCTAAGAAAAGCCCTTTAAACAGCAGTTGTTCTATTTTAAAGTTAAAACTAGTTCAGGGAGGTCTGAGGGCCTACCCTATCCAAAAGGTCAGACTAAGAGATAACTTAAAGTGAGATAACTTAAAGTTTGCAGCTGTGGCACGTGAGATCCTTTTTTTTTTTTTTTTTTTTTTTTAAACATTCATTTCACTGGCAGCTGCTAGCTGTTTTCCTCCGAGATCTGGTTAACCCAGTTTCTCCTCCTGCAGTGTCTGCAGTAATGAGATAGCTTTCAGTCTGGTAGCGGGCACGTCGCCGCGCCGCGTTGTGGCTTCGTCGTCGGACCGGGGAGAAACGATGGAAGGGAACCAAGGGACGTGAGACGTCCCTGCTGCTGCCACCGTGGCCCTCCTGTGCTAGATCTAAATTTGGCTGCAGCGTCTCCTGCTTGACAGCGTCTGGGGTGCTTGAGCCTGGATCTCTGCCGTGCTTGGTGCTGTACGTAGTGGCTTTAGTCTATTGAGACAAGGCAGAACGGGTCTCATGAGGGTTGACGTGCCTTAAGGGATGTGTCAAAGCTGGGGGAACCCCAGCAGTAGGGTGGTCTCTTTCTGTTTGGATATATTGGCTGCTGAAGTGTTTGGGGACAGGCACGACTTTGTGTAGGTGGGCCAAAGTGCCCGGAGAACCTCTAGAGCTGTAGAAATCAGCGTCAAACGCAATTAAATGCGGCGGAAGAGCTACACGGGAACGGGAAGAGGTGTTGGACTGCCTTAAGACACGTTGAGATCCTTTAATAGGTCTATTCTGAAGTAGTTAGTGCTGTGCTAATGGATGTCATCCCACTAATTGAGAGAAGTGAAGCCCAGGAACTGGTTCCTCCGAGTTGCACCAAGGACTCTATACATTGTCCCTGTAGCTGCTTCTTCCCCACCTCTGGTTCCAGCCTTGGGATCAGAGGCAGAGATGATCACAGTTAGCCAAGCCACGCTTCCATCTGTGCGCTGCTGTCACCTTCTCCAGGAGTTACTGCTTTACATCTGTCCTCCCGCACGCGCCGTGACCGACCAGAACATGCAGCTTGTGGGATGTATAACCTAGAAAACCCCAAAGGACAACTTGAAAGGTTTGCTGCTACTGGGAGATTTGTTTGTTCTCAAGTACCTGAGGACTGCTACCGTAGCTGCATCTCCATAAAAACGCTGCTCTAGCAGTTAGTTGCTGTACCTAGTGAGATGCATTGATTTTTTTTTTTTTTTTTCTCCAAAGATGATGCTCCTTGACTTGGCTGGTTTGAATCTGGGTAGCTAAAAGATGATCATAGGAAGGACGCTGGCTTAGTGTTGCCTTTCCCACCAGGAAACCATGGCAAAAACACTTGTTGGGGACTTCAACTTTCTCTGGCTGCTTCTAAGCAGGTTGCTTTGCATCCCTGTTGCAGCCACAGAAGAAACAGCGGTGGATAAAGTGGGGTCATGAGCACACCCCGTCTTTCTCTGGTTTCTGAGTATTTCAGACGCTTGCTGCCACCTGACATACCTAGAAAGAATTCAGCACTTTATTCTAATAAACTATGTACACACCCTGAAGTTGTACAGGTTTCTTAAGTGTAGGTCCATGGGCATTTTGAATTAATTTGGGAGGATGTGTTTCATGCCTGGGCTTGACACAGAGGTGAAATGGGCTTTCCTTGGCCATGTAGCTGACAGACACCAGGGCATGAGCCTGGTCAGGCCTTCGGTACGCTTCCTGCCTTTTTCCTGGAGTGCCTAAACCACAAAAATCAGAGGGAAACCGAGACAAAAAAGGAAGCGATTTGCATGCGGTTGCATAATGACGCTGCAGAGGATGAGGGATTAAACAGCATTGAGAGAGCTGGAAGTTTACCAGGGTGTGAGAGCTCCCGTGATCCAAAGGCTCCAGAAATTGTTCTGGGAACG